CTTATCGCTACACCATCTGACAGTAAACTTTTTCGTGTTGGTGTTTAGGTTGTATGAATTTATCAGTGTCACCACTCTATTATCCACCAAGCTTACAAGTTATTCTCTACACACACACATGTGCTAATTGTATCGTACATGCTTTATCAGAATCTACTCTAGGAGTCGAAAATGTTTGTTTAAACTTATTTTGTTTGGGTAAATGAATTTTTCCTTTGGTTTATACCAATCTACTCATTCGACTAGGTAGAAGGGATGTTTCTTAAATGAATTGGCATCATTTTGCACTAATTACTATTGTTGGGTCATGAGCTTGGATTGACGCTTCCACAATTTGGGCCAGGGGCTTCCCTCTGGAGCTATAGAGGTTACATTTGGATCAACAAATTCACGAAGCAATGACCACATTTAGATTCACAAAAGTAATTCTACAAATAGAATTGTGATGGCAATGTAAAATGCGACATAAATAGAAGGTTGCCCCAAACATGCACTAAATTTTGGATCTGTTCGAGCGCCTTTAGCTTTCTAGAAAATTATAGTGAGGCATACAAACATTTTTTTTTTTTTTTTCTAAAAAAGTCGTAGATTAATTATTTTATAACCATAACATTTTTACATATCTAGTTATAAAAATTAACTTCTAACCACAAATTTTAAGAAGAAAACAACAAAAAAATTATTCTCCAAATGCAGGTAGAAGCTGTCTCAAGAGTCTTAAAACATGTTAAACATTTCTTTTTCCACTAAAATATATTTTTATTTATCATTGATGGAAGAAACCAACTCTTAACAACTGAAATAATTTCTAATAGAAAAGTTGAAAGAATATTACATGAAGACTCGTTCGACTTGGATCGAAAAAACTTCGCTTTATTTCTCTTTTGAGTCCACTTGAGTGTCCCGTGGCCGGCTCTATTCATCTCCTACTAGTTTTGCTTTCAAACAACTAACAAATAACTTATATAGATTATTATCTTAAGCACATGTTCTAATCATAGAGAGAACTAGATCATACATGGAGATGATTATTCAATCACCTTATCAATTAAGGTGGTGGTTCTGCTGAATGTAATATGCAACTGAAGGTCTTGCATCGATATTAATACTTTGAAATGGCTTTGGGCTTTGGCTATCAAAGCCCATTGGTATCAAGAGAATGTAAATATTGAAAATTTAATTTATCACATGCTTTAAGGAGTTGATTCCTAATAAGCATAAAAGAGTTGATGATCAAAATAATTTCTGAATTTTTAACAATGTTTGACGCAGTCTCTTAGCACATATAAATATGTTAACTTAAATGATAGTTTTTATTTTAAATTCATTATTATAATATAGTACATTGATAATCTTATAAAATTAAAAATATATTGAAGGTAATGCTTTTAATGTTAATACTAATAAATCAAATTTGATTCTATTGAAGTTGACCGAGCTTAGGTTGAATCAAATTGAACTAATTAGAAATATGATTGCAATGTAAATATTTTGGATTCAAATTTGTTTGTGGATAATATTTGTATTTTGCTTGCAAGAAAAAAAAAGAAGAAGAAAAATCATAATAAAGCTTAAGACAACAATTAGTGAGTCTTAGATTTGCCCTTTGGCTATTTGTGCTCTTTATTCATTGGTGATGGTTGATGTATAGCTCTATAAAACCAAATATGAATTGCATATTATAGCCTAATGAATACTTTTCGTAACATAAAAATATGTCAGCTATAGCTCCTAGATATATGCTGAGGCTTTCTGAGTATAGGATATGTCCATGTGAAGTTAGTCAAATTTGCATTTCTTGGGCTAGATCCCGTGAATTATTATGGTGAAAGTTTTAAATGGACTTGCCTAGTTGGCCTTTTGGGGTTGAGTAGATAGAAGAGTTGCTTTGATGAAATCAGTCTGTATTATTTAGGTATCTCTCTGCTATGGGACAACTTGACATTATTAATTGTTCAACATTATGAAAGCACCTTTTTCTAGTCATTTTAGGGTATATGAAGCCTTATCTCTTAAGGAGTTCAAATGATAGATTCTTTAATGCTGTGATATCTCCTAATTAACTCCAAGTAAATTTAAAGTTACTTGTTATGATTCAGAACTAATATTGATTTGAGCTATCTTAAAATCAATTTTTAATCACAAGTCTAGTCAAATTTGATTTTAAGATAGATCAGTTTAATATTGTTTTGAATCATATATATACTAACTGTCCTATGCTCGCACACCAAACATTCCAACCACACTAGATTCAATGGGTTTTTATAATGAAAATCTCTTGTTCTTAATAATTTGAGTGTGTGCAAGATTCGTGTACATTAATCGGATAATAAAATAAATGTTTCAACATTTGCATCTAAATTTATCCTTTACAAACTAGAATTATTCTAGCAAGTGTAGCTAAGAAGGTGAGTGAGAGCTACGAGATATATTCTTAAATTGTAAAGAATACAAGATTTATGCAAAAGCCTAAAGATTCAATGTATCTCAGAGAGGTGATCCTCTGACACCCTATTGCTAGGTGAAGGTGGAGATACAATATTATATAGAAAAATTATATTTTGAGAAAAATATATAAATTATATTGTAAAGCTCAATGAAAAATTGTTATGAATTGAATATTAGTTAGTTTTATATATTTGATCAGAGGGCATTTACAACTGACAAGCAGATGTCTGACCAACTAATGTGAGTACGCGGCGCATCTATATGTATATATATATATAATTTTTTTTTAAGTTATATGGTTTTCTATGCATAATTTTACAATATAAAAATATTATAAAAAAAGAAATTAAATATAAGTAAATATACAAAAAAATTATAGTGCGTGTGCAAATGCCCAAATAAAAAAATGGTGTAAAATGTTTTTAAAATTCTATAAATTTGACTAAAAGAATATCGTTCGAACTCAACCCCCAAGAGTTAAAAAAATAAAATAAAAATAGAAAAAAAAAATAAAAAAGGAGAGCCTTTGCTCAGCTAATCGACCTGAAATAATTATTATATTGCCGTCTCTTTCAGCAAATTAATACATGCCCTCAAATTCGCAAGTTATCATCAAAGTAAAATCGGTCATTAACCCCTCCAACTTTCAAATATTTATATAAATAAATAAATATGGAGAGATAGGTAGCTCAGAAAATAGAGATATCGTCAAGGCTGATCGCCGTTACGTACGACGAGCGAAACTCTTCTTCTTCATTGCTTTAATTGTCAGCTTGTTTGGAGCTGTGGCGTTTTGAAAACGCACCTGACCTGTTTGGGTAAACTGTATTTTGACATCTTATGCGTTTTCAAAAAGCTAAAAACAAAATTTTCACACCGCACCTATATATGTGCGGTGGCAGCTTTCTGGCTGCAGACCGGCTTTTCAAAAAAATAAAAAATTTTAATAACCATCACACACCTAATTTATCGACATATTATTTTTAATCAGTGTAGTTGCAGATTATTCAATAAGTTGCACCCCAAACAGACCCTTAATCTCTCTCTCTCTCATTTTTCTTCAAGAAATTAAAATCATAGACGATACTAATAAATTGATCTTCTCAATGAAAAAATATTACTTACAATAGAGGCTAGAAAGAGGGAGGCTAACCTCGTGGCCCTTGTTATTTATACGAGTTCTTGAAAGAGCATCCTCCACAAATTTATTATAAGCTTCATGAATCTGGAAGAGACTATCCTTGCTTTTATACGAGTTCTTGAAAGAACATCTTCCACAAATAACCTCGCGGCCCTTCTCATTTGCACTTCTAGCAAACTTGGGGAACAAGGAATGTTTTGGCCACGATTTTTTCATTCCTTTTGTGTTGTTTTGTTTCTTTATTTCTTAGCATGTCAAATAAAGCAAATAAAAACGGGTTAAGTACTTTATACAGTTGAATACTATATGATAAAATAAGGGTTCTCGGGTTAAATAGGATTTAGTATATCCAATTAATCAAGATTTATATTGACGGAGATGGCAATGAAGATGACACTCCACGATGAAAGAAATTCTTAAATCTGCATCGCATTTGAATTTAATAAATTCGGATTTACATCACAGAAGAGGTGGAATGTTGGAAGAAAGGTGGCACCCAAAAAAATTCAATTTAACTGAGCGTTAGATTTGATTTTTATTTTTTTTAATGTTTAGTTGGATTTATGCTAAATTCATGGCTAAACCCTACTAAGACTATGTTGTAGCAAAAGAAAATGTATGTGCCATTGGAAGGAATCACTAAAAGACCTGAATCGGTGACCTAGAAAAATGAGAAATGCTTGATTAAATAACTCTAGGGTTGATCCGCCTTTCCTATCTGTTATTTTTAATATAGTAAATAAAAATTACAGTAGAACTCATGTCAACGCTGACAAAGTTGTATATGAAATCTTCAACATCAAATAAGATTTTTCTGATGAAGAGATTATTCAAAATGAAGATGACAAAAAATAGTTCAGTTGTTAAACACTTGAATAGTTTTAACTTTGTGAATAATTAAATGTGTTTAGTGAGCATCAAATTCATTCATAAGGTTAGGAAACTATTTTTTTCTAGCTTCATTGCCGAACATCTAGGATGCATTAGTCATGATAATGAGTAACTCTTCAGGTAAATTGAAGTTGAACTTCGATAAGATTGTGAGATTAATGCATAATGGAGACGTATATAAGAAAGCAACAAGCAATGAATCTTTAAGTTTTAAGTTAAATATTGAGAACATATGAAGAAATATAGACATCTTTTGCATAGATTATTATTGCCATCCACATTCCTACAATCAATTTTAATAGGTCAAACTTCTTGGTGTATTTTTATGATCTATTTAACACAAGCTGATGTTTCCTAGCAACACTTAAATAAAAAACTTTAAATAATTCAAATTTCTTGGTTTATTAACTGCTGGAATATAAGTTAAAGCTAACGAATTTCTACGCCTGCTTTTCACATTAATGAATTTTAAAAATTAGAAAATTTTAGAAACAACAGTTCAAGAAATTGCATAAATCTGTGACAGTAACCAACACATTTGTTGCTTTTAGAGCGTTAAGCTGAGGATTTTATAGCAACTTCTTGTTGAATACATTTGACAACATTGCTCTCTCTAATCTTGCATTTATATCCTTAAAATACTCGGTGATACAAATCATTAACTAGCTATTAAACTTTCATAAAACACGCTTAATCCTAAAGAGATAGCTGGCATCATCAGAGTCAGCTATGGCTTCGGGTGCTCTGGCAATGGAGAGGAATGCGTTCTTACTCTGCTGTAGTCTGCAGTATAAATCATCTCCTGATCTTCTTCTCTATTCTCATGCCCGCTGTTTAAGCCTACTTTGATTTCAAATCTTTCAATCTGCATAAAACAAAGCAATCAGACTTTTGATTCTCAGTCAAAATCTCAAAGTTCGTATATAACTAATTAGAATGGTTAACCTTATCTGCATGATTTGGTGACAGAAATGCAGCTGGAACAACTTTCAAAAGCTTCCTTCCTGTGATGCAACTACTTGCAACTTCAGGTTTTGAGGAAAAAAATATGGATTTAGATGGTTGCTGAGAAGAAAAGAGTAGAATCAGAGAAAGACAGAGAAGCAAATACATAACTAGTTTATTTGCCATTTTCTTATCTCAGAGGTAATGCAGAAATCATGAAGATCTAAATACTTGGAGGATAGGGAGAGAGATTTAATAATTGAAGGAATGGGAGGAGAACATGGGCATAGGTGTAAGAGACTGCCATTGTATCTTTGAGAGGAGACAAGTTGGGTGCATCAAACAAACTTTTCAATCAAATCAATTCCAGAACTCAAAACTCTCTCCTAGTTTTGGGTTAAAAGTTTGAGCAAAGCCTGTGGAGTGAGGACCCATACACGTGGTGAAGTCTCTTCTCTCTAGCATTGAGGCATGTTAAATTGTCTACATAACAGGTTTATTAATGAAGTAAAGGATTTTGGTTTTCAGCATAACCAAAGTTTAAGAAAAAAAATTGAATTAAAGATCAAAATCCAACCAACTCTTAATTCAAACCATCTTTAATAAAACTAAAGGGAGATTTACATATATACCACTCAATTCTTATGTATTTACATATGTATCGAACACCTAAACTTCAATTCTTAAATACATGCTACCCTCTCTATGCATGAAAAGATATATTTCACTTCTTAAAAAGTTATAATAGTGATATTTTTGATATGATATGAATGATTCGAGTGATATAAAGGTAAAAAAGCAAAGTTTAGGTGTTAGATATGTGAATACATAGGGGACTTGGTGGTGTGTATGATATGATATGAATGATTTCAGTGCAGCTTAGGCTATGTCAAATTTCAAAACCTTGACATCCAACATTTCACTCTTGAAACATACAATAAACGACCGCAAGGTCTTGTCTGCTCCCTGCTTCAGTTTTGATAGGGATCGGGCATTATTTTTAGGCCTCAGGGCACTGGAAAAATGCGATAGAAAATGTCTCTTGATCTCCAGAAAACAGGTGATTACTCCCATGGGCAAATCGTCGAACCACCTTAATGCGGTTGATCTTAACATTGAGAAGAATCTCTTACACTTGAGGGCATCATAAATTTTCAACATGCATATGGATGATTTGAAGGATGCGTAGTGGTTGTTGGGATCCGACCGCTTTTTATATGATTCTAAGATGGGCATCTTGAACTTCCCCGGTGGTTCAGCTCCCGAGACCTGTAAAGAAAAAGCATTCTTCGGCTGCCTATGCACCTCGGTCTGTGCTGGTCGGTTTCTCTCCTCCATAGGGCGGGTCCGGCGCTGTCTTGGTACCGGTCGTCTGGCTTCTATTGTAGGTGGATCACTTTTCCTGCATTTTTGCTGGTGGTTTCCTTGAGGGGGGTTAGGTGCTCCTCGCTAGTCGGTTCTCCTCCTGGGGCTGGGACTGTCCCCAAGACAACCACGACTCTGAGTATCTCTCCAAATTGTCCTGACATCAGGTTGGTGATCCAATTTTTTAAATCCTGCAAGCATTGTTGGATGAATTCTTCCATGAACTCCCTAATACATGTTGCTTCCACTACGTTCCTCTTATTGGATTCTCCCTGTTGTTATTGTTGAGCTCCTCTTTTTATTGATGATATGTTTCCACGCACACCACACCTTAAAAGATGTTGAATCTAAAATTTTTCAGGAAACACGCCCAAGGTATAAAGCATTTTATAGGAGAGAGAGAGGGGAAGAGAGTGAATACAGTAAAGAATAGTAAAAGAGAGTGTCATACTTTTGTTCATGATATGAACCTCCATTTATACATAAAGGTATAAACATTACAAAGTATACATTAGTCCCCTCATTATTGATTTGTCAGAGGGACTGTTTGCTAATTTACAGAAATATTTGTATATAATAAAATTAGAAGACTGATTCAATTGGCAGAAAGTTCACCAACCGCTTACTGAGCCTTGAATCCATCGACATCTGATCTGCGAAGATACTCCTTGTCGATCTTTCTGATGGTCAATCACCACCTTGTGAGAGATCTCCTGACACGCCCTGATACGCATAAAAAATGACTACTTTTTCATATATATTTTATGCTCAATTTTAATGATTTTTAATGATATTACACTTTAAAGAAAGGTATTTTGCATATTTTTGGTTTCAGGGACAAAAAAAGGAGTTTTGGAGAAAAAAAGCAAAAACAGTGCAATTTGAAGAAAAAAAGAGTAAGAAAGAAAATTCTGTCCTGGCACATTTCCATATGTCTTTCTATGTTTAATCTCATTTACACTTCTCACATATTTTTGAATAAAATTACACTTTAAGGAAAAGTTGTTTTCATGCTTCTTAGAAGCATGAAATGTTGTTTTCATGTTTATTTTTTAGGTATATCTGTTAGGAACAAAACACAACTGAAATGAGATGAAACGAAGTTAGAACAAAGCCAAACAGAGCGAAACAGTGGAGCTGCTGCAGACTGAAGCTGAAGGCACCCAGATCGGCGCTAACGGGGCCCAAGTTCAGAGAAGCAACGAAAAGTGGCCCCGACGGCGCCCGGACCGACGCCGACAGTGCCCGGGACGGTTATGGACTGATTTTTGGCAGATTTTGATGTTCTAGAAGGCTCCCAAGTGATTCAAGCACCCCATGAAGTGATTCAATGCATCTAGACACTTGAAGAAGGCTCTTGAATGAAGAGACATGTCTTTTGGATTAATATATTTGACTCTTAGGAAAAATGAGGGAATTATTGTCTCTTTAAAAAGGAGGGCTTGGCGCCTCTCATGTGTGTGCGTGTGTTGGGGCTTGTGTGTGTGTGCGCGTGAATGTGTGAGTTTTTTGTAGAGTAAATTCTTGTGTGTGGAGAGGATTTTCTTGAAGAATTGTAAGAGGAGATGGAAGGTAATGGAAGGTAAGATATTTCTTCTTATTTCTTCTTCATTACACTTCTAAGAGAGAATTTAGTGTATATTGTAAAGAGCGAAAGTGCTACAAGGGAATCGAGGGATTTACTTGAGGAGAAGTTTAAGATAAGTTGTGTTCTTTCATTTCATTATTTTGTAAACTTGGTTTTATATATAAAATCTGTGTTTTGTCGTATAATCCTCATGAGTTATGAGTAGACTTCTTTATCTTTCTCTCTACTCTGAGATATGATGAAATTAAGAGATAATTTGGATGTGCCTTTTTAAAATATAAAATAAATTGTGATGATTTTTCCACTCCGTTCTTAATTTACTTTTTGATCTGACTAATTGAAATGTTAAAATCTGTTGTGAAACATATGATCCAAGAAATAGAGTATAATTTCTACAACAAAGTGAGAATCACATTTAATTCCATGGAGGAGTGTTTTGTTCAGGGAATTAGGTGCAAATAAATAAGGGCATGTACATTGTTGGGCGTAGAATTGGAGATTTTAGAGTGACAAACTAAAATCCTCAATTTGGTCTTAGTGTTTAAGAACTAACGCGAGCGTTAGCCTTCAGGGGAAGGGAAGTGGGAGCTCTTGAGTGAGAGTCAGTATCCTCCCAGCCAGACCACGGATTTAGGGACTAAACCTGAGATAAGCCAATGATTCTCTATAACACTGAATCAGGGTAGAGTACTAAAACTGCTCTTATTTGGCACAATACAAATTCAAACGATTTATCTCTATCAGTAACCAAAAATTCATTGTAGTAGGAAGGATAATTTCTTAAATTTGAACTCTTCGTCACAAAACTTTGTTTAGTCTTAGTAAATTTAACTTTAAAGTTTAGAAATTAATTGAGTAAACTTAATTTTGTTAGCATACATTAAAACCACTGTAATCAACTTTCGTAATCAACCCACTGTAATCAACTTTCCAAACTAATTGCTTATAGTAGTATAATAGAATTAGCCTAAGAGATTTCCTACCTCGCTTCTTCGTTGGATCGATACTAGGGTTTTTAAAGAAAGCTCTATATTACTTGAAGTGATACGTGCACTTACGTAAAACCCTTGGTGTGTGAACTATTTTCTATATTTTATAATATTAGCTGTTAAATATAAATTGGGTCAAGTTCTTGGCCATTTTTTAAAAACTAAATTAGTGCGTCATTATAGGTAGACGAATTAAATTCACGCGCTAGGGACGCATCACGCCCTATCGATTGCTCGAACAAGGCGTTCCCTTCGCCAGTGTCCAAATCAGACGGTTGTCTACGATTACGTCCGATTGATCATATCTTCTTCCCTAGCCATCCATCTAGCTTGAGATTCGTGCTGGCATATTTCTCATATACAGTATGTGTGTGTGTGTGTGTGTGTTGACCTAAAACAAGAAAACACGCAGAAAAACATCACGCGGTAGGGGCACATCACGCCCTACCGATTGCTCGAACAAGGCGTTCCCTTCGCCAGTGTCCAAATCAGACGGTTGTCTACGATTACGTCTGAACGATCATATCTTCTTTCCTAGCCGTCCATCTAGCTTGAGATTCATGCTGGCCTATTTCTCATATACAGTATATGTGTGTGTGTGTGTGTGTGTCTGTGTGTGCCCTTAATGATTTTTTATAAAGAAAACTTGAAAGGATTCATGTCGTTAAAAATCGATATTACTTATATAAATGTTAAACAAAAAATTGCTCAATTTTGCAAAGTTTTATTGTGAAATGAGACATCAAAAAATGGAACAATGGGATCTATTTGTGTTATTTTGACAGAACTAAGTTGAAACACAGAGAAGCGGATTGTGAGTTACTGAAGAGAATGTGCGAATATCTGACGGATGAGAACCAGAGGCTGAGGTGGGAACTAAATGAGCTTAGGTTCTACGGATCAAAGATTGAAACTCCGAGGATTTGTCCTTCATGTGAGAAACTCACTGCTGAGGAGGAGGAGAAGAAGGATAGGGTTCTTCAGCTGTGCAGTTAATAACTTATCTGAATGACTGGCTGAGTACTGTAATTACGTTAGTTGATGCATTGTTAAAATTAAGATTATGGTTAAGGTTCATGCAAATATGAATGGTAAAGGAGAGAGTATGTATATGTAAGGAGTAGTTCAGTTTTGAGAGGGCAGGCTGCATGCTTTGTTAAATTAAAATTTTTCTTTTTTTATTTAGTTTGACAATTGATGATACAAAGATATGACATGATATATGTTTTATAAAATTAATTAAATTATTTATTTCTCATCAAATAATATTATTAAATTTGAGTGTTATGTATGTATTTGCCCCTAATATTCAATATTTCATATTGAATACAATTATTACTGATTAACTATGTACTTAGTAAGATGAATATTTATGATTGAGAAGATACATTTGAGTCAGACCTAGCTTTGGCTCCAAAGATAGGGAAAATATTATATATTTTGTAAGTATATGCGGATAATGGTAGATGGGAAGATCACACCACATCTAAGTGAAATTATAATGATGTGGTCATCCCATCCACAATTGTCTGCAGATACTTACAAAATATATATATTTAATCATTTCTCCCAGAGATGAGAACTTGGGTGAGGATTTTGAAGAGGATAAGAATGAAGAATAATGAAAAATTCTACATTAATTTATAATTACATTGATATTTTTGTTTGTTTGTTTGATGCATTATATGTGTTGGGATAATATTTATCAAGAGTATTATAATGTGCCGACCCTATTTTCTTTTATCGAGTTCATGTTAATTTGCTTCATTAATCATTATTAATGTTTCTGTAATATTATTTTCTGTTTGTGATAGATTAAATTGATTAGGATTGTGATTACGATAAAATAAACTACAATTAAAATGATAGTGTTCAATTTTGGGCTCTTAACCTAAAGTCAAATGATAATAAGAGTTCTTCCTGGATAGTTTATGAACCCTAGAATTATTCTATATGTCTTATATCCAATTAGGTTATATCATCAAAGCTAGAGCCTTATATAAACATCATTAAACAACTAAAATATTGTATGAGATTGCCCGAGGCAAATTGCCAGCCAAATTTGAGGATCACAATAGATCAGGTTGGTAGGAAAGTATATTGAATCATTAAAATGCGTAGTTGGGAGAGTTAATGTCGAAGTGTGAGTCAAAGATATACAATGATTGAGCCAACAATTTTTTAACTTCTAAGATTTTAGGAGTTTAAATGTTAGAGGTGATGGGGATTAATGAGCTTTTTTTTAATTTCAAATTACATTATTTAACATATCTTTAAATATTCTTTTATTTATTTGTATATTTCAAGCTAAAAGTTTCTAGTTGTTAAAAATCTATATCTATGGGGGTGGGTGTTATGATATTGCATAAAATAGGTGGCCCATGAATGGGGTAGTAAATGGAACCAAATGGGTCTATGACTCACAAAACTAGAGATTGATTTCAGTCAACAACAATCAAAATCCTGAATATGAAAGTGGGGACGACTGATTTATGATGAAAAACTCCATGTATGGCCCAAATGGTGATGTGGAGTTCCAAAAGTCTTGCATAATCATATCGAAAATAAGGGCCCGTTTGGGGTAGCTTATAAACGCAGCCTCACCGTTTGAAAAACTGATTTCGGCAGTTTATTCGAAGATGCGGTTGAGTTTTTACACTAAATGTAGGCCGTGGGTCGAACCACGTGCAAAGTCAGGCGCGGAGCGGCGCTAGAGATATGGGACAATCTTTCATTCTATCAAACCTATTCACTCTTTCACCTGCGAGCCGCGTTTGAAAATAAACTGTTTATCTGGATAAGCACAAGCTACCTCAATCACACTCTAAGATATGATTTAAATCAACCATAAAATACTCATAACTTGGAATAACTTAAGTTTTTCACCAAGTCGAGCAACAATGATTGCTAGCAATGATAGTTAGTTTCAAACCATTTAAAGTTCTTTTAATCTCCAATATCTCTCCAATTTCAAATTCAGTGAAAATTTCATTTAGAAAATGGGGATATATTTATAATTTCTTTACTAACATTTTATAAATTTAGCTAAAACATGAAATTATTTCGTTGGATGTTTCATCTTTGTTTTTTTAATCATAGATTATGTCTTAGCATTTAAGCATCTTAATGACCTTAGAATTTGTTTATATTGAGCTCATTGGATTTCTCTCAATAAAAACCTCATTTTGCTTATAATGATATAAAAATAGATTGTCAAGTCCTCCAATTAAAGTCAGCAAAATTTTTAACTATAATCAAAACATGGATTTGAGCTCATTTGGGGTTAATTATTGGATAAATCACTCTTTGCAAATTTTTATATAAGAAATTCTTTATATGATTTTTAAAAGCGCCCAAAAAGATAAATATAAAAGTTTTAGGTGTTATGTATGTAAAAACCCCTAGTTTTTTTTATTTTATAAAAGATTGTTTATGGCTAATCTTTTTAAAAGGGTTTGTAGGTTTGTATTTGTTTAGGGTCTGTTTGGGGCAACTGGAGCTTATCCAGCTTATGCTGATAAACAACTTATCCTGATAATCTGCTGATGAGTAGCTGATCTGGATAAGTCGTCTGACTGTTTTGTTTGTGTATTTGGAAAATAGTTGATTCTGAATAAATGATAATTCTGCTCATATTAGAGATAATTTATTTAGTTGTTTGGTTTTTGTGTTTTGTAAACAACTTATTTGCAGATTTTTTTAGTTTGATGAAAAATTTGTCACGCAGAATTTGTAATTTTCTCAACAAAACGACAATGCATACATGTTAGATATTTTAGAACCAATTAACCCTCTTCAGACTAATTTAACATATACAAACCACCAAAAAATTACAACATAACATTAATTCATTTGAAATGTGATAAGTTTGTAAGAGAAATGCTTTCTTCACATTGTGTGAGTTTCCCGCGTAACACAGAAAAAAAAAAGGAAAACTTATATATTCACACAATTTCTATTCAACCAAACAGATGGTTGGGTGAAAAAAGCAAGAAAATCAACTCAGTGGATGATTGGCAGTTTATTTTGATGATAAATTTGATGCGAATAGGAGGACATAGAGAACATGTTTGAGACAGGAGATGCTGTGACTGGGAAGCTTTTCCAACGTTTCAATTAATCCTATAAACACCCCAACCTCGGTTCCCTCTCCCCACACCTTCCTTTCCTTCGCCTTCAAATTACTCAGAAAAAAAGGAGTAATTTGAGCATTAACCATGGCTTCAACTCTCCATTCTCCTGCCCCATTTCTATTTGGTTTCGACTCCAGCAAGCCCCACAAGGTTGCTGATGCCGTTCTCCCACCAATCTCTGTTTCCTTTCGATCGGCCAGAGCGAGTAGACGGGTTCGAGCTCAGGCTATATCCGCTGAGGCGGAGGCTTAGAGAGACAATAGAGTCAAGAAGCAGGGGCGCGCGGGCTGTCAAGGAAGTTATGGCTAACCAGAGCTTCGGCAGAGGAGGATAGAGAGCGGCCGAAGGAGAGCGACGGAGGATTTGTAGGAGGGGGGAGCCTGGCTTTCGGCAACGGAGAGCAACAAACGGCTTTGTTCGAATGGCTTTCAGCTAAGGAGAGCGAAGGTTTGTGGGCCGTGAGAGCTAGGTTTCTCATGAGCCAGAAGGGTAGAGCCGTAAAACGAGGGATGAAAGCTGTTTGCGAACGAGGATCGTGAGTATAACCCCGTGATCTGCGTCTAATAAAAAAAATTAAACAACGTTTCCAAATAATTTGTAAGAACGTGCGAAACAAAGATAGGCAGCATTCTGAAAACGCTGTCATACTTATACGCTGCCCCAAACGGCTCCTGTGATCAATAATGACTCTCACTTGTTAAATTTTAAAATAGAAATATTACAATTATTAAAATAAAAAAGATAGAAGTCAGTATTCCTTATAAAATCTTCTATTAGTATTCCTTATTTTCTTTTGACAATGCCCAGCTCTAAATTCAAGCATGCATTAGTACTAAAGGATGATCAACTGAGCAATTATTTTTTTTCTAGAAAGACGTGCTACAAAAAATTTTCTTTAAAACTTATTTGCTTGAATCATTTTTATTTTTATTTTTATTTTATTTAAATTTTATTTGCAAAAAATTATTTTTTTAAAAAACATTCAAAATATATAAAAAATATTTGAGTATCTAAGTAATAAGCTTATTAATTTTAAAATAAAATAAATTATAAAAATTACATTAAATGTTGTTGGATCATAATCTGTCTTTTGTGAATCATGCCTCGAGAGTTAGAGCTGAGTGAAAGAGAGAAAGGAAGAGAGAGAGTAGAATCAGTCAACCAGAGCGGTCGGTCTGTATGCGAGGTTGGTCAGTTGAACGTGATTGGCCAGTTTTTTTTTCGTTGAATGAGTCTTGGCTCATTTTTTGTTCAACTCGAGTCTTACAGGGCTTGTGTCTCGCCAGTCTCGTTGGTTCGTTGTTTCAACTAGATCTCGCGATCTTCTAAGGTCTTAGGCGAATATTGTCGCAGTCTATGTGGAGTATCCGACGACACTCGTTGTCTGGATGATTTACATCTCACTTTCGGCGGGTCCTACTGCTTCCGAGCAGCGAATCTCCATAGCTTTAACCTATCCTGGGTTTTGGAGATGAGACTTCATGCTCAGTCGTGAAACTTCAGTTGATTGTTTACCTCGAGAGGAGACACTTTCATCTTAATCCTTTATTTTCTTTGATATTTTGTGCAGATGTATATATTTTCCTAAAAAAAAAGTAAAACTAAAAATAAGAATAAGAAAATAAATTCAATCCGAAGCCATTCAAACTGAATATAAATAATAAGATTTTTTTTTTGGTGGGTTGACTTCCAAATTTTCCGCAAATTGCCTCCGTGCCAGTCGCACTCTTCTTACTGTTAATACATTCACGTCCCAGTAAACGCCAAACTATTAAGAATCATGCAATTAGCCAAAGCTTCACGTGACCAGCAATTGCAAGGCTCCCCAATCTGGGACGGAGAACTCCTGATTCCAATACTTTTGAACTTCAAAGTCCACCCCCATCATCACGTGATCCGCTGCAACTTTAGCTCCCGCTAATTTACTACTCTGATGGAACCAGAAGCCCCCCGCGTTACCTCCATTGCCCCCTTCTTCTCTCTCACACCACTGTCGCCAGCTCACTACAGAGCATAGCGTATGAGATCACAGGAAGCCTTCTCTATCTATAAAACCCAACTCCCACAGCTCACTTATCATCTACTCCTCCAAAGGAATCAGCTTTATTTCGTTTCCTTCATGGCCAACGCAAGAATAATACTCCTTCTTCTTTCCCTGCTCGCTCCTTCTCAGTTCGCCATTGCTTCCTTTCGGAGCTTATACAGAGACTTTGATATCACATGGGGAGGTAATCGAGCTGAGATGCTCAATCATGGCCAGATGCTCTCTCTCTCTCTTGACAAGGCTTCGGGCTCCGGCTTCCAGTCGAAGCATGAGTACCTCTTCGGCAAGATCGATATGCAGATCAAACTCATCGCCGGCGACTCCGCCGGCACTGTCACCGCTTACTACGTTAGAAATACATTATACATTCCTCCCCTGTATTTTCTTTTATCCAAGAAAATAACAAATTTTTAGGACTGAGCTGCAATATTCTGTTTCTTTCTTTCTTTCCAGTTATCATCTCAGGGCCCGATTCATGACGAGATTGATTTTGAATTCCTCGGGAATTCGAGCGGAGATCCTTATACTCTGCACACCAACGTGTTTACGCAGGGAAAAGGAAACAGAGAGATGCAGTTCCGGCTCTGGTTTGATCCAACGCTGGATTTCCATACATACTCTGTTCTCTGGAATCCCCTACACATTATGTTAGTTCTTTCAATCTTTTCCTTCTGCCCCATGCAACTGTTCTAATGAAATCGTGATATATAAACAGATTCATGGTGGATGGAACTCCCATTAGAGTATTCAGCAATCTTGAAAAAACCGGCGTGCCATTCCCCAGAAATAAGCCCATGAGAATATACTCTAGTCTGTGGAACGCTGACGATTGGGCTACAAGAGGAGGTCTCATCAAGACAAACTGGGCTCACGCTCCCTTTACGGCTTCATACCGCAACTTCAAAGCCGACGCCTGCGTGTTCTTCGCCGGAAAATCGAGGTGTCCGTCGAGAAAGATGGCCGGCGGGGGCGGAGGAGGAGGAGCGTGGATGCTGTACAAGATGGATTTGGAGAGTAAAAAGAGGATGAGATGGGTGCAGCGGAATTGCGTGATCTATAACTATTGTGCAGATCGCAAGCGATTCCCGGCGCGTCTTCCGCCGGAGTGCGCGGTGGCTTGAGAAGAAGATGGAAGGACGTGTTATTCTTTCATTCTTTGTTGATTTCGTTCGTCCTTGAAATAAGTTATTTCTGTTTAGCGGACAATTTTTTATTTATTTACATATCTCATACTTAACCTTTCATATTTACATTTTAATACGTTAAGTTAATGCATGAAAATATAATTTTCACTTTTAAAAAAACAATAATTGTGCTATATTTATGTGAAATTAAAAAATTTAGCGGTCTTTATGTAAATATGAAAAAGTAGGTGTGAGATATAAAAATAAATAACAATGTGTCCGACGTACACTTGTGTCTATTGTAATGTTGTTACATGATATGAGGTAAATGGGCCAAGATGGCATATAAATGTTGTAAATTTATGTGTAATGATGACACACACACACATATATATATATATATATATAGGAAGAGAGAGAGTGACTTCTATCTCTTCTCTCTCTGCTCTCTAGGGTTAGGTATATATATATGGGTTGCGTTCCTAAGTCAGTTGGTAGAGCATCCACTTCAGCGGTATAATTTCCTTATGGTCTGAGGTTTAAATCCCGCCTCTGGCAAATGATGCTTTAAGAATGGGGTCCTCGAATATTTAGGCGCATGGGTCGCCCATGGACCTGACTGAGATTGAACCAATAGGGTGGATTGGAGAATTGATGCCTCGACCCATTCTTTTAGCTAGACCTCTTTGACAATTGATCAATAGTTGACTCGTGTTAATTGTTCCGGTTTATGAAATTCTTGACTTGATATTTACTGAACTTTTTTGTTCATTCATTTTAAAGTATTTCAGCTATTACATTGGTGCTCCATTTTTCGATAACAGTAAATAATAACAGAGTTGATAGAGCGCTTTTGTTCAATGGCATAACTACAAGCATATAAATAAATAAGAATGATAATAATAAAGATGATAAATCCTAAGACTTAGCTCTGATATTATTAAATAATAAATATGAATCATCAAAATAAAGTTAAAAATCATTAAATCCGTTTTGAAATTAGTGAAATAGAGTTAGTATGCTTGATTTTAATGTAAGGGAGGTAAATGTATTTTTTTGGATTATTATTATTTTTTAGTTGGGACAACCCGGTCAAGAAGCTCATGGTTTTCCATCGTCCTGGTGTTGTCGGGTTTCCTGATCTACATAATTCGAAGAGGGGATCAAGCCTACTCCGACCTGAAAATTCTTATCAACAATCACTGGTTGCATCCTCCAAGAGAACTTTACAGATCTGGGTAGTAAGGTTAAATTTAGGTTCGGTGATTTGTTTATTAGTGTTTCATTTAAGGGTTTGTTTAGGGCAACTGCAACTTATTGAATAATCTACCGATAAGCTGATTAAAAATAATATGTTGATAAAGTTAAGCACGATCACTATTACAAATTTTTATTTTTCAGACCGTAGCCAGAAAGCTGTCATCTCACCTAAAAAGATGTAATGTGAAAATATTATTTTCATCGTTTTGAAAATGCATAAGCTGTCAAAACGTAGTTTTCCCAAACAGACCTGATGCGTTTTCAAAACGCCACCACATCAAATAAACTGCCCGAATCAAACATACCCTAAGTTTTAGTGCATTTTTCAATTTTTAGGGTTTAAAATTTTTTGTTGATTAAGACTTCTTAGCTGATTAAATTTTGTGATTTTTTTTTAAATGAATTGGTCAAGGTTTCATTGTTCCGTCCTATTGGGGTCATTGAGTTTGTGGTTTGATTAATCATGAATGACCAAAAGGTACTTCATTAGCATTCATAGGTTGCCTCCTTCGAATTTTCCTCTCAGACTAGGTCATATTTTATGGCTGGAGTTTAAAGTTTAATCATTTTTAGTGTGTGTTTTTTGTTTTATCTTTTATGTTTTTTTCTTACATTTCAACGTGTGTCTCTAACATATGTTAAGTGTGCTTTCATTCTCTTATGAGAGGTTAAACACTCCTTAACTTAGGTTATTTGAGTTTGAATTGAGTTACATCGGGTTAAGGTTGATTTAGGTTAATCTGAGTTGGGTCGGGCTGACCCAAGTTTGATCTAAATTGATTTGGGTTAATCCGAGTTAGATCGGATCAATCCAAGATTGACTTAAATTGGTTTGGTTTCATTCGAGTTAGGTTTGGTTGACCTAGAATTGATTTAATTTGATTTGAGTTAACTCCTACTTAGGTCAAGTTAACCCAAATTTGAATTTAAATTGATTGAAATTAACCCGAGTTAGGTAGACTTTAAAGCCTTGATTAAAAAAAATTTTGGTAATGATCGCATACACCACTATATATTAGATCTATTAATTTATATTTATATCCTACATGAAGTTGTACATGAGATAAGAACTGTCCCTTAGTAAGAGTACAAATATTGTAAAAACAATAAGCAGACCCCAAAAATTTAAATATTGTAGATAATAACAGAGTCCACCTCACCCCTTGACCTTGTGCACCCACCATATCCTCTTTTTCTTAAAAAAAATATTTTTATTTATCATTTAAATCCGACTTACTTTCTAGCGGTATAATAAAAAAAAAATTACAATAAACAAGATAAATCCAAAAGGCAAACAAACATCTAGTATGATTAAAAACAAACCAAACACCAATGATTATTGACTTCCCATCAAAACAATCACCTTTACTATTTACAAACTCAAATCACCATCCCTCCATCCAAAAAACCTCCCTTTCTAGTTTGCAGAGCACTCAGGTGGAAGCCCCTGCGGAAACCTCTTCAAATCAGTACAGTAATTATAAACCATATAATTTTTCTGCACCCAATTCATTCTCTTCAAGCTCTGCGCGTCCAGCGCTTGATTCATCCATGCTTTCGAGCCACAGGAGGAAGAAGCGAGCGGACCCTGAACGCAGCCGTCAGCGTTCAAGTTCCTGAACGCCGCCATGAATGGAGCTTGGCTCCAGTCAGTCTTCACCAGCCCTCCTCTGGTAGCCCAGTCCTCTGCATCCCACAGACTTGAATACAATCTCATCGCCTGATTGTTCGGGTAAGGAATCCCTTTGGTAGCCGCCAGATTCTTGAATTCTCTAATGGGCGATCCATCCACGTAGAATCTGCAGCAAATTTTAGAAATTGAGAAATTAACTTACTCCTAAGAGCTTATCTTATATTATAGAAATATACAAGAAAAAAAAATCTTACACAATGTGGCTGGGATTCCAAAGGATGGAATAGTTGTGGAAATCTTTGGTAGGATCAAACCAGAGGAAAAACTGCATCTCTCTGTTCCCCTTCCCCTGCGTGTAAACGTTCGTATGTACTATATACGGATCGCCGCTGAGATTGCCGAGGAACTCAAAATCAATCTCATCATGCGCTTCTCCTTGCGACGATAACTGCAATATTCACAAATATTCACACACAACTCCTCTCAAATCCAAAAACCAAACAACAACAACAACAGTAAAGATGGAGTAGAAACTCACATAGTAAGCAGTAACAGTGCCGGCGGAATTGCCTGCAACAAGCTTGATCTGCATATCAATCCTACCGAAGAGAAACTCGTTCTTAGACTGGAAGCCAGAACCGGAAGACTTATCGAGGGAGAGGGTGAGGAGCTCGCCATTGTTGAGTATCTTTCCACGGCCGTCGCCCCAGGTGATATCGACGTCTTGGTTGAAGTTACCGGCTGCCGAAGCGAAGGAGGTGGAGAGTATGAGAAGAGGGAGGAAGGGTAGAGAGAGGGGAGGAAGGGTAGAGGCCATTGCTGATGGTTGATAGTTTCCTCTGAGTTTGGAAGATGATCGAGAGATGGTGTATTTATATAAGAGAATGGAGAGCTCTGCCCTGCTTATGGGTAAGAATGGCAGCTGTAGTTTTCAGAGGCTATTATTATTATCGATGTGGGGGACTTGAGATTTGGGCATATATTAGATGATTGTCATGCAAAATATATTAATTATTATTATTATTATTATTATTATTATTATTATAAGTTTTTTGATTGTGAAAAAGGTGTATAATTGGCTTGTTTCCTAAATGAAAGTGATTAGGGTGGTGAATGGGTTTGAAGTGCTGGTTTTGACGTAGGGGTATCTAACACTTGGACGTTTTTTATGTAGGAGATGACAGGATAGTGAAATGTTTAATAAATTTTATATATATCTATATGTGTGTGGAGAAATTATTGCATACGGACACCGCATGCATCTCTGCATGCGGTTTCCGATCCTGACCGTAGATCACGGTGATCTACGGTTAGGATTATTCCAGTTTTTCTTTTTTTTAAAAAAATTTAGTGGGGCCCACCGAAATACATCCTGACCGTAGGATCGGACACGTGCGGTGTCCGATCCGTATGAAATAATTTTTATTTTATTTTTGCATTTGTTTAGGTCTGATCATAATGATGAAATCGTATATAGAGTAGAGTATAGCACAAAATAAACCGAGGAGAAGAAGAACTTATTTAGGAGATTTTTTTTAACTTATTAATTTAATATTTTTTTTGTATTTTAAATTTTAAATAAGTTTGTATATTTTTAAAATTATTTAAAATATCTAAAATTTTTTTGATTACCTTTAAAAATAACTAATTATTTTATACTATATCAAATATATGTTTTAAATAAATAAATAATAAAAATGATCTTAAATGTCCCTTGAATAATTGCTTACATTCAATTCAATAATGACTTAAAAAGTAGAACAAAAAATTTTATAAAAAATTTAAAGCTAAGTTTACTATCAAAAAAGAGAACTGTGTTAATAATATGTACTAGTTATAAATCTAACTATTAAAGATTTGTATATTTATATAAATTTGATGAAAATGTCAATTCAATATAAAGAACTAAATTGTAGGAAGTGCCCCATATGGTGATAGTTATAAAAGGAGTTCAAGAGAGTTCAAATTATAGGGTGGTAAGAATTATTTGTTCTTATGAAAAAGGCTAAGAAAAAGTGATTGATGTTGAGTCAATGAAAATTTATAGATGTTTTATCATAGCCCCTCTCCTATTAGAAATAAAAATACGACGCTTTGGATAGATTTAACAAATAACTAGTGTTTATTGTGTGATATCTTCTAAGGAATATTGATCAATCTGAATCCTGCAAAGCAGTATAGATCCAACAACATTGGGAGCAATGAGCTATTTTGCATTATAATAAACATTCAAGTCTATATAATTCCTCAACAATCCAAGTTTTTGTACAACCAAATTCATTCCCATCAATTTAACCAAGGAACTACTAGAATATGAATTTAGTTCAATGAGCCATTTATTGCGACTAGGCTAAAACTAGTTGCAAGTCAAACTTTATTTGTTTGAATTTGCTCAAAGCCCAAGACATTTCGAACAAAAATTGGTCAAGTCATTCAAATGATAAGTCTTAACCTAATGCTAAGATATTGAACTCAATATATTCAACCATTTGTTTATCCATCAAAATTATCTTAAAGCACACACCAACTAAAAATGTTTTCTCTTGATGAACTTAACAGAATATAAAAAATTCCTAATTTTCTTGTGACTAAAGGCCTCACTTGGCACATAACTAATGTCACACTATATTCAATCCACCTATTCTTTGCTAAAATATTATATAATCAAATTCGTAACATATATTTTTATCTTTCCTTACAAATAAGTGTCATAAAACTAAAATGATATGCTTAAATTCTTAAAATTACTATAATTATTATTATTTATATTGTTATTATAATTGTACAAAATAATATGGAAAATAAAATTACACAATAAATAAACAATCAAATACGATATTTAGGTGTAAATCCACCTGCATTCATTAGCATAATGTCACATCACAAAAGAGCTTTTATAGGTGGTGGGCAGCCCAAGACTTATATATTGCTTTTCGGGCCTACACCTAGCCAATGTGAGACTATTTGTCCGTGACATTCTCCTCCACCCAATCACGTGACACTCTCCTCACGGGAGCCACGTGACACTCTCGTCACGGATCGACTCCACCGAGGGTTCACACACATGTCAAACAGTAATCTGCTCTGATACCACTTGTCACCTCTCAAAAGAGCTCTTGTAGGTGGTGGGCAGCCCAAAACTTAAATACTAATTTTCGACCCTACACCTAGTCAATATGAGACTATTTGTCTGTGACACTAAATTTTTTTTCTCTTCTAGATAAGAGAAAAAGCAGCACATACCTCCATTTACAAATATACCTCAAATATAATAATGATTACATCATAAATATTATTTTTAATTTCTGAAGAACTCAACCACCACTAATACTTAGTTATAGAAAACTAAAGAGCCAATTTTCAAGAAATTAAGGTAATTTACAAATATTTAGACTCCATGCACGCTGTTTAGCTGAATTATGAATTAGTTAATGCATAGCTTAAGGGCTGCTCTGACCAAATCGTACGTGCGCACGCAAGGTTATGGATAGGATCAAACCTTCCCAAGTTAAAAGTTCGATCTTGGTTCGAAACAGCTGGCGCGTACGTAGGAATGACGGATCTACAGAGAACTCCCGCGTTGACCTCTGCCCTATTAATTCTTCGAATATTATTAACTGGATCCAGCTGGCTTTTCTCAAAACTTTAATCTTCCGCCTTGGAAGAATTGAGCAGCCTCGAGGGCACCTACCTACACTATTCAATTCGTCTGCCACCTGGCAAGACCAGTCAATGTGCCACGTGGAAGATTAGCAGAGATGTTTGTTGAGGTGGCTGCGTGGATACACCGGAAGGCGCGTAATTTTTGTGGGATATTTATAATTTCGCACAAGGCATGCAAAAATGATATTATTATTTATTCTCATGAGCTCAAATATGATTGAAGAATCTTATTTCGCTCTCAAACAAAATTAAGTTACATATTTTTCTGACTATAATTTAATATTAAATGTATTGTCTTCATATTTTTCTTTCAATAAGAGCATATCAATCAAAGGATTTTTGTATGAGATGTATACCGAATATTGTTTATGAATGGCAACGGATGATAGAAATATGCATGCATATTAAAATTTTAGGTAAAAATTTCATTACATTTAAAATTTATTCTAAAGTTTATTTTGATGGTATTTAAAATTCTTTGAATTTGGGTAAATTTTAAATACACTTTATGCAAAATATTATATGTCACCGTTGATGCTAGCAGCACCCCGCTCATTTGTCATTGACCACCACTAGCCGAACAACAATCATCAAATAGTTGTTGTGATTACCACTGCCTTCAAAACCTACAGGCCCGCTGCTCAGACAACTATTATTGCCTGTCAACAGTCACTGCTCCCAGATAGCAAAGGCCATTGCAAGACGTCATCGCCACTCGTAAGAATTGAACGCGACCTCCACATCTATTGTTGGCTCCTGTCGGCTACATATTTTACTTTCATATCATTTTTTTTTTTTCCAAACAAAACAATCAAATATGAATTTAATTACAATGCATTACTTTTACATTATATTCCTTCTATATTATATATCTTTGCAGGGAACCTAATTCCTTCTAAAAATAAATTTTAATTTATATATAGAATTTTATTCCTTTCAATTTTCCATTTTGACATGATCAAAAATGATTATTTTTTATTAATATTTTATAAATATATTTAATAAAAACAACATTATATTTTTAAACTTGTGCATGCATATTATCCACATCAAAGTTTAACCGACGAATGAAGGTCTGTAAATGGAAAATCGAGGATGATAATATGCATATAGCTTTCACTTTCCATTATCCTCTTCATATCTTCGTAATTAAGGTTGTTTGCTTTTAGACACATAAATCATTGTTATTATGGCATATTTGATAAGATTTCAATCCTATAAGCAGCACTACATAGTTTGGCTGATTTCATATTTTATATGTCTGGTGAATTTACTACCAAATCAGAGCCTCAAATTAGCAAAATTGTCTAATATCAGTATTGTATTATTTGACTGATTTTAAATTAGCAAACTGTTTGGTATTGCTGTGGTTGTCAATGCCATTGTAATGTCTGCTCCTACAGCTGAGTTGCTCATATTATACGTTTTAGTTGCGGCTGGTTCAACAATGTGTAAATTTAACAAGATTATAAAGCACTTTTAAAAAATTATAGTTTGAGGCTTTTTTTTCGTAAGCCCAACTAGACATGATTCCGCTTTGACGAAGTGAAAATTCAGAGCAGTCAAATCCGTCCAGATAATACGTAGTTAGAAAAAAAAATAATGCCAGTGATGGGAAAGTTGTTGTTGATATATAGTTTAGTGCATGAGATATATGATTCTTTTTATTTAAGTTTATCACTCTATCACAAGTTTCAATTTTTATGTAGGTAAAAGTTGAAGAGGTGTAATTTTGTGGATTATGATGAAAAATTATTTTTTTAGGTGCAACATCTTTAGTTGGTGTAACGACTTATTATTATCATTATTATTATTATTATTATTATAATAATAATAATTATTATTTGGTGATTATTATTGATATATCTTTAGTAAATTCCCATCATCCCATACGAATTTTGAGGCATTAAAATGAATCTCGAGATAATTTTTTGAGCAAGAAAAATTCAGACTTCAATTAAGAGTCATCCAGAACTCTGATTTCAACAAACTTTTGGTCAATCTGACCGGCTCGATGAGACGGACCTAATGCTATATAAAAACTAGTCCAATCCAAGTCAAATCAAGCCCACATTAGGTCATTAAACCGCGTTTGGAAGTTTTTCAAATACATTTGGAAGATCAAACAAATATCCAATCTAACAATTTCATAGTCAAATTGAGTGTCTTGACAAGACGAATCCAACAAGTCTAAGCTTGCTAAATGCCGACATCGTCAAAGCACTCAAATGCTCATCAAACACCGTCTAATCGAAGAAAGTTCTTCGGACTGTCTGATCAAAATAGTTCATATTCATACATTAATTACACTCAAAATACTATAAATAGGGCTCCACCTCTCACAAGAGGGCAGAACTTGAAGTTTGAGAGAGAACTTGAAACTTCGAAAATGAGTTGAAGTCCAACGTCATCCCTAACATCGACGATCGTTGCCAGCAGTCGTCGACCACTGTTGACAGTCATCGACCACCGCTGACCATCGTCGACACCCTTCGATCGCCCTCGGCCACTGTTGATCGTCGTTGAGAAGCACCAGCTACCATCGATTACCACCAATCGTCGTCAATCACCATCAACCAAACGACTTCAGTTAACATTGTAACTCAAAAAATCTAGTAACACTTTTTTCGTTTGTGGAGCAACGAGTTTCTATGATCATCAACCTATAGTGGATTTTTATAACTGGGTAAGAGCTGATGGTTTTTTTTTCTCTTACGGGTTTTTCCACGTAAAGACTTATGGTGTCATTACTGGTTGTTTTCATTCACCTGAGAGTGTGTTGAATTCTCGTGAATCTCTAAAATGATAATCCCTCACTCTACTGCCGCGAAATTTCTAACCACGCATCAATTATTGTATAAATAGATAGACATGCATGAAAATCGACTTTTCTTTAGTTAATATTTTGTGATGGATTTTTATGGATGTACTTAATGGTATTATATAGCTATACCTCATTTATTCGTTTTGTTGCTCGTTTGGTCGATGGAATCAGAGTGATGTTGTTGTTTCAATTTCTTTAATCTTGTTCAATTACTTGATTTATTCATTTCTTTATTTATTGTAATATGACATCATTATGTTCTTAATTTTGATTTCATGGTTAATGTTACTATGCGTTGGAATAAATTTGATGATAAAGTAGAAAGTTGTATTCTTCACTTGTGTTGTTCTAAGACATGTTTGATGAATTAGGAAGCAATGTTCTTCTATTATGTTAAGTATATTCATATTTAATATTATCTATGTCTGGTCCTTTTATTCAAAATTTTTGATGTGCTACTGGAGAATTTGATGGTTGAGTTTAATTTTTGTCTTGTACAGTCATGTTTAATAATATCCCAGTATAGTCCTAATATCTAAAATTCTTCATGTGCTACATGTTGAGACTTTGTTAGCTGAGTTGATTTGTTTATAGTTCTTGATTTTGATTTCATAAAACATTCAATTGAAATATGAAGCCTAATGTTACTATGCATAGGAATAAATTTGATGACAAAGCTGAAGTTGCCTTCTTCATTTGCGATGTTCTTAGACAAGTTTGATAGATTAGAAAGTAATGTTCTTCAATTATGTTGTGTGTAGTCTTGTTTAACAATGTCCCGTTCCAGTCCTTATATCCAAAAACTTCCATGTGTTACTGGTTGAGAATTTGCTAGTTGTGCCCATCATTTTTGTTATTAGTAGGTATTAATTTATTCACCTTATAAAAAAAAACTAGAAAGTTAATTTGATTATTAGGAAGAGTAAAATCTTTTCATTAAAATATTTTACAGGGTGTGATCATTTTTATATTTTTCTCTATTTTTTAAACATTATGATATATAAATTTTGCCCAATTAAATTTGTTTGTCTTTGATAATTGTTAATTTTATTGCAATAATTATGTAGTATAATTAATATGCAGTTGTTTAACCACGCATACCTTACATCTTGAGTGAAATAGGGAGAGATTTGGTAGACTTTTGGTCTCATTGAATTTCTTCATTCTTTCCACTTATTGATCAAAAGCCTCCTACCTTCATGTTTGGTCTGCAAATCTCACCAATTATAATACATTAAATATATAATTTCATTGATCAACTCTTTTTTTTTTCAAAAAATAATTAAATATTTTATAATATGACAAAATTTAATTTATAAAGACGAACTTGCAAAAAAAAATCAATTTTCTTTTAAGGCTTGTAGTCCAGCTCAGTGCCATTTAGTAGGTAGATCTGGCTATTAAATTTTAAATAGAAACCAGACTTAAACCTAATTCGAACACATTTGATTAGTCGATGCTTGAATAAGCCTGACCTTCTCCAAATCTGGCCCACCCAATTCCATATCAAGTAATGATCTTGTGTTGTTGTAAGTTTTCTTACAAATTTTATTTTGAAATCGTGAGGCTGCACTTTAATTTAATATGATTGTGTCCATTTATTTCAGATACAACTTGGCGTTCTACTTGTCAATGATATCCAGCACTAATATTGGTGATGTCAGACATCAATGGCTGACTTTGAAGTAATAAGAATCATTCGAAGTGTGTTATTGCAGGGAGAAATTTTGCATCTTTGCAATAGCCTCCAGGGAGAAAAAATCACTTGTTAGACGCTGATTTAGGAATTAAGAAAATACTAGTGATGAAATAGTGTATTAAATTTATGTAAATTCATTAAATTTTTTTTAATAATACTACTGTTTATAATAAAAGTTATTGATGAACTCTCAATTTTTGTTTAAGAGCAATCCAAATCTATAACTGTCATATACAATTTTGCTTGGTATGTCTTCGAGATGAAACGGAACTTTTAGACCTTTGTAAAAATTAAGACTATTATAGTTGAGACACACACACACACACACCAAAGGTGACCTCTGCTCAGCAGTGACAAAATTCGCGAAGAGTAAAGTGCAAATTACCCCGACAGCTAGTCTCGTTGATCACCCTTGTGAATGTAGCGTCAAGATCCACCCTAGACCTGACATAAGGTGAGAGCAACTTAGCAGACAAGACACTGTAAGGCTTTAGCCAAGAGGTCGGCGAACTACAATACACCAAAAACAACCGATAGCCTTTCCAAAGATTTGAGTCATCAGCCAAACCAAATCATCCAGCAGTCGCAATCAAATTATGTTGTAATAATAAGATAAAGAAAAATAAATGTAAAAATTGATCCAGAGCCTTATTTGTTTCTTGAATAAATCACTAACACTTCTTAACAAGTGTTGATTGAGTGACAGATTGAATATCGGTCCTGAAAGGCCTCAGGAGAGCACTTCAGAATTGGAGGAAACAAAGCCTAAGCGACATTGAATTTAAGGGAGTATAAATAGGGCATTATTATGATTACATTTTTGGTCCATTTAAAATCTCTCATTCTTATCGCGGCTTCACTTAGATCTAGACAAGATCTAACGGTAGCTTCATCTGCTAAGTACAATTCTTTGGCTGACCGCAGTCTAACGGCTGACTGTCGTCTGTCTGCTGACCTTCAGTCCTTCTGTCAACTTTCAGTCAATTTGTCAAACTCAGCGCGTTTATCGATTCATAATTGTTGTACTACACTTAAATTATAACACAATTTTGATATTAAATTAGCGCATTGATTGCTTTTTGGGCTGTTACTATAACTCTTCCCCTCTTTCCATAATTCTACAATTAAGCCCCTATAAATAGGATGACCTTTTATGTACAAGAAGAATGAGATCATTTCAGCTCTCCCACTATCTAGTAACACATATTTCTTATATATAAAATGAGTCTGAGAGCCCAAAAAACACCCCCACTTTGCCTCACTAGGGACAACCGCTGCATCAACTCTCTCGTTTTCTACCGCCCTATTTCTTGGGCATGTACCACTGCACAATTTCAAATCCAACACCATTACTTGTTACATGTAAACAAATAATAATAATAATAATAATAATAATTTGTCGCTTATTACTTATTAAATGTTAGAAGAATAATTTTTAATAAAAAATTAAGCTAGCATGTTAAACGGTTTGGGTTCTGGTTAATCGTGTAGATCGAGTCTGGTTCAGGTTGTTTTTTGATCCGTTTATTATTTGAGTCGAATTTGGGTTGACCTGATTTGGGTCAAATTTTTTTGAGGGTGACCCGAATCCGATCTACTAACTCAAATTGACATCCCTACCGATAAAGTATTACAATTAATACATGACTTTATTTTCTATTGTATTTAAAAATAACAATTGAAATCTACATAATTGCAAGAACCCCTAACTCAAAGCTTCAGATTATTTGAAATAAAATCAGTTGAGAATCAAAAACATGTTAAATCAGTTTCATAAAGATAAATGAATTATCCGATCATTAACATATAAGGAGATAAAAAATAAAGAGCTGCTAGAAAAGTTTTGTGACGTGACGTCTACCTGATTAATATAATTTGGACGTGACACTGGTGACAGGACCTGAGCGGACAATTATGGGATGTTTGTCAGAGAAATAATTTATTCTCGAGATTGCTTTTAACTCTGGTCCTCAGCAGCTGAAATTTCCCTTAATGTCACGCATCAGTTTCCATGCATTCACATTACCTATATCTGAAAAGATATTTTTTTTTTTTAATTTCAAATGACTATATTTTTTATGTTATATTGAAGAAATGAGCGAGCTAAACACGGTTTAAGATGCTAAAAAAGTATGTTAGTGATAGCGAGCTAAACACGAGCAGTTTGCTAAAAAAAAAAAAGACGTTTTGCCAACCCTAATTATGCAGCTATAAAAAATTAAGAATTGAAACAAGATTTAAAACATTATTTGATTAATATAACAATTTTTATTCTATTTTTTTTTAATTAATACTTCTAATCGATTATAAATCTTTATCGCTTTGTAGTCAACTAAATTTTTTAAAAATACTATCCATCAAATATATATATAATTGATTAGTAGTATTTCGAGTCAAAACAAGCCGAACACGAACAAACAAATATTTATTCATGTTATTCGTGTTCGACTCATTAACTTAGCGAACGAGCTGAACACGAGCTATTCACGTACAATGAGTTTTATGACACCCCTACCGCCAACTCAATACCCAACTAAATTTACCAAAAATACAAAAAGTACTTTACTTGCTCATACTTAGCGAAGCAATCCAAGTAAAAAGAAGATTACATATACTTTGATTTTTTTTTTTTAGGGAACTAACCCTTAGTTTACAATTACAACAACAAAAATAACTCAAAAAATCTAAATAAAACATGCACTACATATATCATACAGGACCACATCTAAACGACCATCATAATTAAACTAAATATAAAAAATCTAAACCAAAGATCTTACAACGAAGATTAACGAATTTAAACAAAAAAGGGACAGCCATTTTTGGGTGGAGGGAGCTTTCATAAAAGAATAGAATTAAAGATAATCATAATCATCATCACTGTCCTGCTCATATATCTGGTATTCATCATCACCTGAACCAGTCTGCCGGCCTCCACCATCTTTGCTGGTATATGTAAATCCATTAAGAAGCTCCTGCAAGTATTCATTAGGGATTGTATCTCCCATTTCATCTGCATAACATTTAGGAAATTGCCTATTTCATATCAATCAATTAACATGCATATCACATACAGTGCCGTACGTTTAACTGATTTTATGAAAATCAATGATCTAATCTGTTACTGAAAAAAAAAGGAAGGTTTACATACATACCACTCAATTCTTATGTATTTACATATCTAACATCTAAACTTTCAATTTTCACATGTATGAAAAGGTGTATCTCACATTTTATAAGTTAAAATGACGGTATTTTTTATGTGATATGAAGGATTTGGCTGATAACAATGTGAAAAACAAAGTTCAGAGGTTAGATATGTAAATGCATTGAAATTGGGTGCTATGTATGTAAATGGCCCTAGATAATAAAACACATTACCACTTGAAAGAGAGAAATAAAAAGTAAATAAAAAAAATTACCCCCAACCAAGACACAAGAGTGTCCTACGGAAGTATATGCATATTACATTAGATTCATACCAGTGAGATGTTGAATGCATGTTACCTCATTACACATTGGCGCAGGTCTAAGAAATAATACAAAAAAAGGGAAATTTATATACCATATTTACATATCCAACACCCAAAGAGTGATAATACACTTACAACACCTTAGTATCATAAAACTATACATGAAAAATTCACTTTTAAGAAGATAGTGATAGTGATATTTTTTAGCGGTATGCATGTAAATAGGAATGTTTAGCTGTTAGATATGTAAATACTGAAAAATTGTGTGGCATGCATGTAAACGCCCCAAAAAAAAAAACATAACCTAGATAATTTTAGCAATTCTTCTATGACTGGCTTGCTGGACTAAAAATGATGAATAGGTTGTAACTGCACAGTTAACATAAAGCTAGAAAACTCGAGGATACAAGAGGCAGAATAGGGAAGCACGCCATCTTCAAGAACCTGAGTTAAAACAAAGACAGACAAAAATTATAAACTAAACAAGTATAATAAATAGAAGATTAAGTCAAAATTTGAATTAAAAAATCAGCTTAAATCATACTAATTCTCCTTTCTCACTGCCCTCCCCTAGAGTGAAATCTATGGGGAGGATGTTAGGAGATCTTTATAAATAGTGTGGCAGGGAATGCAAATATTTATAAAGGGCCGCAAGATATGAAAAACCCACTATAAATGAAAGGATGGTATTTGATAAAACCACTCCTCCCTAAACTTTATATTATACGTGCATGTCTCTTTACCATTTCAGGTGATTCATATGCATCAGGCTCCTCTGGTTCTTCCTCTTCTTCCTCGCACTCCTCATCCTCGAGTCGGCAAACTTCCTTTTGAACCTCTTTTTTCGTGATTTTAGATTTGCCGCCTATCTGCCGGGAGAGGCTAGCATCTGCAGGTGATAAAAATAAAAGTATTAAAAGTAGTATTTTCTCTTTTCATATGATAACCAAATTATCTGTTGCATAGAGTGAAATTAAGAAATGGGGTAAAATGAAAATTAGGCTAATTATAAAAACCTTGGTCGCCATGACAAAGCTCCTTTTCAGGTTTCCAGAACTTACTAAGAGCTTCCTTATTCCTGCAACGTTTAAAGTGTTCAATTTTGGACTTCAACAATTCCTCTGGAGCTCCATTAGGTGTTACTTCCATGAATCTTATCATCACATGTAGCCTCAAGGCCTTCAACATTGCCTCAGAGAACCATCCCGTTAAAGGCTGCAGAAATAAATATGTTCGACAGTGTTATAATTCAAAAAAATGTTAGGGAAACCTAATATCAACAGACAAGAACGAAAAAATATGCTCTACATTTGAAGAAAATGCCAATCTCCGTCACTCAGAAAAGAAAATTAACAATTTGTTAATTTAAGTATTTTATTTTAGCTATTTTTATAATATATATATACATATATATATATATATACATATATATATATATACATATATATATATATATATATATA